GAAGTGTTGATAAGATTAATGTATTTATATGACTACAACTGTTTCCCCCTCCTTTCTGAAAACAAATTGGTTTATTCCAAAAGTATGCATGGTACCTGAGGCAGTCTAAATGACTATTAAATATATACCAATGCAATTTAGATTTAAAGCACACTAATGCAACATGATAGATACAAAAAGACAGGCAATCAGCTACCTTAAAACTAAGAGTGACTCTAAGACAGACCATGCCAAGCATCAGAAACATGTAAACCATAGTTTGATACAGTAGAAACAGCACTGAGCTCTAGAGAGCTCTAGAAAGTATGATCTTTGTCTTAGCTCTGACATGCTGTGGTTTATAGCTTGCCACTTCACTACTTGAGGCTTATTTATCTGTAAACACGAGAATTACATATGATAACTGTTTTTTAACCTATGGTTACTTTGTGGTATTTGAATGTGTTTGTTGTCTTAGGTCTAGAACCTGTAACATACCAAACAAGGAAACACTCTGAAAAGGACAGCAAAAGACCTTTATCTGACAACTGAATTATTTTTCAGTGCCCCAAAACATACACATGCTAATTATGGGAAGTTTACTGGATTCCATCTAGCTGGGAATAGGAACTGTGACAGTTATGTATCATAACCATACAGAACCAGTAATTAGTACAGAAAGAGGTCGTGGGCTTCCAAATTCTTTATCATCATCTCTCAAGTGACTGTCATCTTTAAACATTGCCTGATGGTTACTCACCTCCAGGTGTATTGATGACCAAACTGGAAAACAATAGTTCCACATTCTTAAAGTCAAAGTAGAAGGTCATAGGCTGCCAGAAAACCAAAATAAGTCAATTAGAGAAGACTGAAGATCCTAAATGAGAATTTTGGGCAAAGTAAGGCTTTACTACCTTGGGCCCTAAAAGCCCTTTCTTGTGTCCCACCATCATTGCAAGTCTTTTTCTCTTTTCTACATGAAACAGAACCACCAGAACTTAATTCCGAGAGGATGAATTTCAAAAGAAGAAATTAGAGAAGAAAGAATTCTAGAAAACCTTGGTTCTGGTGTGACTCTGTAGCAAACCTGCCACGTGAACACAGGCAGATCACTTGACTTTTGGGGGGGGGGTTATCTGCATTGGTTTTCCCTTATTGTTAAACTGACCTTTAAAGATAAATAACCTTTTAGTGTTAAAATGCCATTGTTTCTATTACCCAAGTGTGTAGGTAAATGTCTGTGCTGCCTCTCCTGTGACACTCACCATCATCATCATCATGTCTCCTCCGCCATGGGAGTGTGAGGTGGTCATGTGATGGTGCGGTGGCATGGTACTGTTGTCCATGTGGTATATCCCCATATGGTGGGAATGATCCACTTTGCCAGGAATAGATGAGAATTAGCAGGAGAATCTTTAAAAAAAAAACAATTATATATTAATAAGGATATGAAAATATCTTCTTGGGCTGGGTATGGTATGCATCTGATTATTATCTTTAGACCCAGCACGTGGGAGACAGGGGCAGGCGGATCTCTGTGAGTTCAAGGCCAACCTGGTCTACATAGTGAGTTCCAGGCCAGCTGGTGCTACAGGAAGACCCTGTCTCAAAAAGACACACACACACACACACACACACACTTTTTTTTCTTGATAGTCTGTCTTTATAGACTCTCCTGATGAATATTCTCCTAGCATCTTTACTCAGAAGTAGGATTACCCTTGGAGACCACAGGAGAAAGGGTTTGTATTGAGGACTTGAGACACTCAACTGCTCTTATTCTGCAGAACTGTTCCTGTAAGAGACAGGTTGAATGTGTGTTCGAATTGAAACAGGAGATAAGGGGAAAAAGGCAGTTTCTTCAGGTGCAGGCAACAGCCAATTTGTAATAATGTACAAATGGATGCCATTAACAGAATGTACTTGCTCTCAGGCTTTCTAATCATAAATGTCAAGAGATAAAAAGCTAGTACTTCAGATAATTCACCTAATTGGGATGGCCTGTGTTTAATCAGGTTATTCAGATTCCATTTAGACTTAGAGGACAACCAGCCTTCAGCTAATTTAAATCTGAAAAAAGGTCTACTGCTGCCTTGGGCAAGGAGTGTGCTCAGACTTTATATACAACTTCAGTCCTACCAGGACATTAGAGTTAAGGACATGAAAAACAAGGCATAAATTAGATATTCTATATTAAATTAAGTCTAGACACAGCATATTCAGTCTTGTATCTTTGCCACATTAATGCTTTGCTGCAGAAATCAACCTGGGACATGAACCAAGAAGCAATAACTTCTATAGTTGGTGTTAGAGTAGCAAACTGGGAAGCTGGGGTGTATATGCAGAGGGAGGGGTTCATGAAATCTCTTTATGTGTCATTCGACTCCAGTTTGTAGAAGAAAGAGTAGCTTTAGAAATTCAGACAGGAACAGGTGCATACCTGTAATCCCAGAAACTCAGGAGGCTGAGGGAAGAGGATCCAGAGTTTGAGGCAAGCCTAGGCTACAGAGTGAGACCCCTGTCTAAAAAAAGAGAAAAAGATATTCTAAGTAGGCATTCATGTTCATGAGTCTTGAGTATGCATCTGATTATTAATTCAATCAAGCTCTTATTATAAGCCAAATGCTTAGCTAGGTGCTAGTAACTAAACAATGAATAAGACAGGCAAGGTGCCTGATAAGGAGAGAAGCAACGAGGTAAACAGATAATTACATGGTAAGTTAGTGCTATGGAGGAAATAAACAGGGTAACATGACATTACTAAGAAGTGGAGAAGAGATTGTAGGAAATTTACATGGAGCCAGGGAGCCACATGTCTAGTGCAAGAACACAAATATCCAGTCATCTATTTTCCCTCTTGATCCCCAGCCAATGATTCTGACAGAAGGCTTAAGAAATAGGCTTATTTCCAATGAAGAATTCAGCAAAGCATCACATAGGCATAATCAAAGTTCTACTTTGAATTTCAGTAACTTTCATGCCAGACACCTTATTTTAAAATTCAGAGGTTGGCAATCGGGTACTCTCATTATTAACATGGCTTTTGGCCATAAATGTTTTATAGTAAATACTAAGTAACAGAAAACACAAAAAATAGAACCCAAAGTGTCAGAGATGGGATAATCAGTTAAGTCGTCAGAGTTTCATTTTAAAATGTTTTATTATTTTTATTTTTTATGTGTGTGAGTGTATCACCTGCATATATTAAGTGTACCCATATCGTGCCAAGTCCATGGAGGTCAGAAGAGGGTACTGGATCCCCTAGAACTGCAGTTAGCCACCATGTAGGTGCTGGAACTGAACCTGGGTCCTCTGCAAGAGCAGCCAGTGCTCTTATCCACTGAGCCATCTCTCCAGCCCCAGCAGTTTTCATTTTAAAAAGTAAATCATGATAGAAAGGAGGGATTACTAGCATCTAAGTGATCATAAATTATGATTTTGAACCAGACAAATGAAGTGACTTCAGAATGAAAGGACTAATAAAGATACCCAAAAAGAAATCACAAATTTAGTATTCTTTCAGTGCAAGACTGGAAAATGATAGCAGTAGGAAACCATAAAATATAATTTGATTCCATATTATCAACATGACTCTAGTCCATGAAAAGGCAGTGACATTTACTGAATGTTTTCTGGTATAAGAGGCTGAGGGAGATAGAAGCTGTAAGGGAAAATAGTCATACTTTTCATTTTGGGGTAGATGATGACAAGTATCCCTAAAAAAGCAGGAACACAGCACCACAAGCTACTTAAGACAGGTACCCTTGATTTCTTTGAACTCTGACAACATTCATTTTCAGCAACAATTTTTGAAGACCCAGAGGTTTCTTTTTAAGTTCCATATACCTATTAGAGAAATTATTCAATGACAGTAATTATCAAAACTCTTCAGACACATCTTTGACTCAGGAATTCATATGTTCCAATCTCAAGGAAACCTTTCAAGCCATGCACCTGTTCTGAAGTGTCATGTGTGTAGGATGTAGTCCATATTCAACTACACCAGGAAGAGAATCTGCTTGCTTTTCTTACCAGTGGACAATGGACTTCTGTAATGGGAACCTTATGCAAGGCTTACCCAATGGTGTCTCAATAGGGAGGTATAAATCTGGTGGAAATTAACATACAAACAAACTGCAGCTCAAACTCAAACCAACCTGGTTAAGTCTTTATGCTCATTAAAAGCCCATTCTGGGTTGGATAAACCTTATTAGGAAAAAAAATCCCACCTGACTATGTCAAACCTAACTGATTTTTCTGTCCACTTGGCTTTTTAGTGGTGTGCCATGTATTTGGATAACTGACCTTTTTTTTTTTTTTTTTTTTTTTTTTGTCTTTTTGAGACAGGGTCTCCCTGTAGCCCCAGCTGGCCTGGAACTCACTATGTAGACCAGGCTGGCTTCCAAACTCACAGAGATTCGCCTGCCTCTGTCTCCCAAGTGCTGGGACTAAAGGCACGCCACCACGCCTGGCTGTAACTGACCTTAAAAAAAAAAAAGAAACACTTTGCCCATTCTCTCTAGAACAATTCTATATACAGAAGGCAAACAGGTATTATTGGTTTTCTTTTGTTAGTTTTAATCTAAGTTGACTTAACTCAGTTTATTCTAGAATAAAAATGGGTACTGATATAAGAAAGAACTCACAATCCAGAAACACACGACTGCCTGACTTTCTGGCCTCTTAATTTGTAATCTGAAGAGTATGGTTTGACTTCATGGCAATCAAGATCTGTGCTGTTCTATCGTTGCCTTATTCAAGTTTCTCAAACTCCAACAGCCAACTTTTCTTGCTAAGAACTGTTTGCAGTAATTGAGCTCCACCCTTATCCATCTCTTTCTAAGAACTGAGCTCAAGGTCCACAAAGTAGTCACTGGTCTACCTTTATGGAATCAAGTTCTTGGTTATAAAGCACTGTTGGTTGGTGAAACTTGTGGGAAAGTAATGATAAGTAATAGGCAAACCTTAAGAAAATCTTTGATTCATTGCATTCTGGGTTTTTAGGGCACTCTGCATATGCCAATTCTGGGATACACCTCCACTATTCACTTTTCTTTGTAACACTTCATCAGTTTACACATTATTAAAATAAAAAATCCTTAGGATTTTAAACTTTCAATCTGGTAAAATCCAGTTGCAATATTTTATTACAATATTAAGCTTAGTAAAAGTAAGTAGGAAGATCAGAAATACTACTTTTATTTATACCATTGCCAATTCAGGTAAGCTAGTTTTTCTTTAACAGAACTAAAGTGGGACCCATGCTAGAGAATCACCTTTGTATTAGGAAAAAGTGACAGAACTTAACAGCAGGTATGTGGAAGTTCCTAGAACATTCTAGAAGTATAGAAAACTCCTTGGATTTTTAGGGAAGTCTAAGAATTTATTTTTTGTTAAAAGCACAAACGTATAGGGAACTGAATCCATATAAAATCAGCAAGTCTCTTTCTACTCAGTTTCTAAGTGATTTTTCTTACCTTTAGTGAGGTACTTGAAGTTGGCCATAGTATGTCCGTGGTTCCTCTGCCCTGAACTGTTAGGAAGGAAATGCACTCTATACTGCATGTTAAGTAGCTTTACTGGTTGGTCTTCCTCCTTCCTCCCTTTCTTCATCTAAAAAGTGTGATAGTATTTATAAAATAGCTTTCTTCCTTATAGTCAACAGTACTAATTCTTTCACAGTCTACCCCTAGGGACCATCAAAAAAAGAAGCTCCCCTTATTCCTGCCCCATCTCCCCTAACAAAGACTCATCATAAAGACTAACTTGAGGCTGGGCACGGTGGCACAGGTCTGTAATCCCAGAATTTGTGAGGTGAATCACAAGCCTATGGCTAGCCTGAGCTACATAATGAAACCATGTTTTTGAAAAATATTATTTTTATTTTATGTGTTATGAGTGTATTGCCTGCAGGTGTGCAGAGGTCAGAAGAGGGCGTTGGATCCTCTGGAACTGGAGTTATGGATGGTTGTTAGCCACCATGTAGGTGCTGGGAATCGAACCCCGGTCATCTGCAAGAGCAGATGACTAATCAGTCATCTCTCCAGCCCCCTTCTGAATCTTAAGACTAGTCCTTGAGCCATTTATCCAGCCCTTCCCTTACTCTTTTTAATATATTTGTGTAGCAGAACTTCCAGTGTCATAAATTTCTGCCATCTCTAGCTTAGAACTATGATTTACTCACACCTACTATCTTTTGAATGACTGATAAAATTAAATATGTATGACCATTGCACATCAAGAAAGACAAGGCAGCTACAATGCCCAAAGTGTTATATAGTTATACCCACACAATTATGATCATGTTTCTGCCAGTCAGTTTAGAACAGGAATGTGAGGCCAGGGCCCAGGGGATGGATGGAACAACACCATAGCCTTCAAGGGAGAAGGGTTTTCTCCCTATATATTCATAA